AATAATTTATTATATGGTATCTTCAGTTGACCAAATCCAGTACTTTATTTCCTAATTATATTTATAGTGAATTAGTACATGATGTTACTTTAATTCTTAGGAGCATGAGAAATAGTGGTTTAAATCAAAGAAGACCTAGCTGAAACTGTAGTACCCAGGAAGGGGGTGCAAAAGGCTTTCATATGGGATGGTGAATATTTTGTTGACTCAGGGATCCACACTTGGGAAGCAGAACTCTCGTGGGAACCTAAATATTCGATTTGGATGGTGTTCATATTATTTATTAGAAGACTTAGTGGAATCTATTGCTTAAAGTGGGATACCTCTCCCAGAACAGGCTGGGAAAATGTCCAGGATGCCAGCCAGGGCACTGAGGAGAGTTTCCAAGGACTTAGGCCAGTGTTACTCCCTCCCTTCTTGGGAAAGAATGCGAAGTGCAGCTTCTATCCCTAGATCCAGGCCATATGCTCCATTAACCATTGTAGGTACCTTGCCCAGTTGTTATTTTAACAAACCTGGTTGTACTGCTGATTTCCCTTAGAGGGCTCACTGGGCAGGCCACCACTGGTAAAACCTTGAGTTTCCCCTCTGGTTGACCCGGGAGCTGTTAGATGAAAGTTCTGCCGATAGTATTAGTACTGGCTTAGGAAGCTTGGCTTTCTTGCCATTGTAATGGGTGTTGCAACTCTTGGTCTCTATGGGTCACGCCAACAACAGCAGAGTATAGTTGATGTTTGAGGGCATTATGGAGGAGATGACATTTCAGGAAAGAATAATTAATTTAATGTTACTGCTTTTTTTCCTTAAAGGCAGGGGGTATGGCACGACAGAAAGAGAAATAATACATCATATTTGTACTAAAATTCATCTTCACCTTTTTTCCTCATACTTGGAATTGAAACTAGAGCCTCTGCATTGTGCTGTATCCCCAAGTCTTGTTTTTTGTTTTTTATTTTATATTTTTAGAATTCTGAGACAGATTGCTAGATCACTCAGTTGCCCTGGGCTGGGCTTGAATTTGTAATCCTTTTGTCTCAGCCTCCCAAAGTGCTGGGATTACAGGTAGGCACCACCATACCCGGTCTATCTTCACATTGTTAATGTACCGCTATCCAGCTTTATATATATTTTTGTGCTTCCACTGAGTCTATATCCATTATTTTTGGGTAGCATTTAATTTATAAATGAAAAATTTTACTGAATCTTTCCTCAGGTCTTGGGTATAACCTCAGAGGTTTGTTCAACTTCTAATTTCCAAAGAGAAATAATTTCTCCAGATTCTTGAGGATGTTTTGAAATGTTTGGTTTGTGCTATAATGTTCTTAACATCACCAGGGAAAAGGTTAGCAGGAAGATTTACCCTTGGAAGACCAAGATAATCTTCAACTGCATCTGAAGAAAACAATGCCACTGTCCCCGCTATTGCCTCACACATGTGTCACTAGGAGAAACATCAGTATAGGAAAAAAAATTTGCTGTTGCCTGTGACTACTGTGCCCACAGAAAAGGAGTGGGTGTGAAAATACCCATGTGATGGATCAAATCATTCCACCCCCTGCCTTGAACTGCCTTTTCTAGGAGCCAATTTTCCCTCTTGGGTCCTTGGGAGATGCTTAATTTTAATTGACTGGGAAGTTCTACTTTGTGTTTTGAAAACCACACAGAAATGGGAAGTAAGTTAAAGAGTTCTAGTCCCTGCCTTCCCATCCCCCCAAAAACAAATCCAAGATACTGGACAGCCTTAAAACAGAATCTTAGGTTTGTACCAGTGACTTGATCTGTGATAGGGTGTTTATTTCCATGAATCTTAGAAATAAAGTTAACCACACCCACCCAGAATGGAGCTGTGTTGCTAACTTTACCCTGGGAGTACCCAGTGGGGATGTTCCTCTAAATTGGATTTTCCCTTTTCCTAGATGGTTTCCAAATAACTCAAGGTGGTCACACTTATGGAGAGGACAGAGTGTAGTGGTAGATTTCATTGCTCTGAAATGCTTCCGTTTTTGAGAAGGGATGGGACATTAAGTGTTTCTCTCCAGCTTTCAACAGAGCTTCCTTGTCATTGGGTTCCATTTGTCATTTGCTGCCCTCAACGTCTTTGTTTCACGGCCTGTGGAATCTTGGCTTCAGAGAACTAAATGGCCCCAGCAGAGTGCTGTATTTTAAGAAACAGAACGATGATCACTCACATTTTAAGTTAATAAAATCTGAATGTAATTGGTCAGATCCTCCCAGGAGGGAGTGTGTATGATCTGTCCTCAGGCCAGTGTGAAAGTTTGGCATTTCTAGGCAGAGAGGAGGCCACCCTCATACAACCAGGGAGGAGCCCACTTGGGGCCCTGTGGCAAAGAGAAGATTAAACACTGGGAAAGTTCTTTGAACAGAGAGGGCAGACAAACTGTGAAGGTGGAAATAAAACTGAAGAGTTGTTTGTGGAATTATGTGAACTGTGGAACATTACAGGTCATATCTTTCCTGCCTTAAAATATGCCTGTCAGTCTCAACACTTCTCTAGTTACTGCCTTCCCTCCCTTTTCCCTTTCACAGCCAACATTTAAAAAATGTGTCTTACTGGTCTCATTTCTTTACTTCTTTTTTACTTCTTAATCTTATGTTCAGCTTCTTTCTCCTTCCCTTTGCCAAATGCCCTCATCAAGATTACTGGTGACTTTCTTATTGAAAAAAGTAAAACAACAGAAGACATACAGTTGCTTTATTTAACTCCTATCATTTGACGGTACTTTACTTCTGCGGTGCTACTCTTTCGTTCTTTCTGTGTTGTTCCTTAGTCTAAGAAAACTTACTACCCCACTCCATAGGAATCCATAGTCTCCTTATTTTTAATCTACTCCTTTTAGGGACTCTTAAGCATTTTGATAGTTTCATATATGATTCACATGGCAAGAGTTTCTTAAATCTGTATCATGAGCCCAGTTTTCTTTCCTGAGCTCCAGACTATATATCTTAAATTTGCCTTTCTCTGTGGAATATTCCAAAGCTAACTCTTTCAAAATTCCCAACTGCCCAAGCTTGTTTCTCCTTTCTTATGTATGTAGGTAGGTATGTAAATATTTTGGTAAATGGCATTATGATACCCTGAGACCCTAAAGCCAGAAAACAGTATCCTTTGTTAGTAGCATTGCTCTCCCTGCCTTTAATGTTATTTTTTCCCCTTCTGTGGCCATGTCATATGATAGCAAGATTTGATTTTAAAGAGTAATTCAAATCTATCAATGCTTTCTTAAAAGTTTCTTATGGCTTTCTGTCTCTAGTAGGATATAATAAAAACTTCTCGGCAGGGCCTATTCTGACCCTCTTCTCTCTACCCTATCATTTCTTTCTTTCCTTCATTGTTTGTCATTCTTTCTAGATGTAACTTTTACAGGAGTGAGATTTTGCTTTATTGCTATATATATATCACTGCTACTTTGAAAAATGCCTGGCACATAGTGGGCAACCAATAAATATTTTTTAAATGGAAAAAAGAGAAGTGTCTTTAGATCCTGAGTCTCAACCAGATTAATCCATTTCCTGAATTACAGCATAGTTGTAAAGTCTGCTTTTTCTGCTTTATAATCCTCTTCTCTTCTCTCTTTTCCTGCTCAGCTTCCCTTTATTCTTAGTACTGGATTCAGTCACCTGGTCAGGGAGTCTTACTTTGATCTTGTAAGTTTAAAGGTTAATATCTTCAATAGACTCCATAACCCATATGTAATTAATGTGTAATTTTAGTTAATGTATTCACCTCTCCCATTAGACTAGCTCTGGCAGAGATGATATTTGATTTATATCTCTGGCATAGTTGAGCTTTATAAAATACACTCTGAAAACTCTTATTTGAATAATTCTTTTGTCGAATTAGTTGTAGGTCATAGACTACTTTGATAATGTATATTGGCTGTCTCCCAAGTTCTTCTGCTTGCCAAGTTTTGTTTTTTATTTATAGAGATTTCTGAAACATAGGAACACATACAAACTTGCTTTTAGAAAAGGCTTATCTCCCTGCTAAAGTTTTCATAAGAATAACACATATGATGTCTGTATTACCTATTATATCCCATGCATATCTGATATAGATTGTCTTATTCACAAGTAGCTCTTCAAGGTGTAGACATTACTCCCATTTCACATACATGGGAACTGAGACTCAAAGGCAATAATCTGTTCAAGTATATACAAGAAGTACAGCTGGGATTTGAATCCAGGCCTCTTGATTTCTAAACCCAAACTCTTTCTGTTACACCATGCTGCCCCCTATGGGACAAGCCCACAAATCAAAACTGCTTATTAAAAATATAGAGATTATAAAATTGGAGTTCTTTTATGCTATAGAAATAAGAAAGATGCTCGGAATGGCCGTTGTTTTAATTGATGTGAAAAATGACATTAGTCTCAAGGCTAGGGAAGAACATTACACAGAATTGCCTTTGCTTAGTCTGCTTTTTCTCTGCTTACAAGCATAAAGGTATTTTATAGACATTTGTGTTAACCGAGTCATGTTGTCTCTGATAGCATTTGCTGGGTGAAGTCGGACTTAACCTCAAAGGAGGATCTCCATCTGCTTGTCCGAAAGTTCATCATATTCACAATGAGGCCGAGCTACTTCTTTGGTCTCAGTTTAATGACACTAGTTTACCCAAGATTCATCTTTTTTCCTATCTCCTATTCTGGAACATTGGTGCCCTGTGGTTGGGAAGTCTGCCCTCACCTCTTACCTCTGACCTACTTCTTGTCCCATTTTGTCAGTTCCTCTTTATCAGTCTGGACCTGTTTTTCCCCTTTCCTGGTTTTGGTTGATTCCCTTGGCTGACATTGCCCTCATCCAACGCCGCACCAGCCCCCATTCTACATTTCCAAATCCTTTCCTTTGATCTGTGTCCTTTCATATCTTGGAAGTGTGGGCTAGCCCTGACCTGAAATGTCCCAACCTCTAAATGGAGTTGATTTCAGATTATTCCTGCCCTTCCATTGGGCTGATTTGGTTTCTTTTATGCTTTTAGGCTCCGATCAGTGTTTCCAGCCACTTGCTAGAATGAAAGCCTCAGCACAAAGAACCTTACCAGCAGAGAGAAAGGATCAAGAATCAGGTGACTGAACCAAAGAATTGAATTTTACTGCTTACCACTCACTGCCTTTCTTCTGTGCATCTCGGGCGATGGTGATGGTGATGGAAGACAGTCTATATGTGATGATGTAGAGTTAATTTTCTTCAGGTTCTGCTCATCTGAAGGATCTATCAGCTTAGTGATAAGCAATCCAGAAACTGGTTGCTTGTATCTTGCATATTGTAGAGCATCCATGATCCATCTCATTTCACGCCAAACTTCATCTGTTTGCTTGGGAATAAAATGGTAAAATACATTAAGCCATGAAACAGCTATTAAAAAGGACTTTTCCTGAGAGCTCAAGATGATCCACTTTCCACAGTATTGATTTTAAGCAAGTGTAAAATATTTTCAAAATATATTTGCTTAGCCAGAAAATGCTTCTTTACAATCTTTGTGTTTTGCATATTTTTTACCATAGAACTTTGTCATATAGTGGGAAGAGTGGAAGACCCAGATTCTACTTAGCTCTGTAATTGCCTTTAGCAAATCATTCAATAATTTTTGAAACTTAGTTGGCCTTATCTGTAGACTACGGGCAAAGCATCTTCTCTTTTATACTTCACAGGGTTGTTACAGTGATGGAGTGAAATGATAAATTTGAAAGAGCTTTGTGATACTTCAGGGTATATTGCTCACACATATAAAATGTTATTAACTCAGCATATGATAAAATATTTCTCATTGGAGCATTGTTGGGAGGGGATATGGTAAAGTATAAATTTCAGAATTTCTGTGTTAAAAGTATATATTAAATATTTCTTACGTGGAAAGTACTTCACTAGTACAAAACAACTTATTCTTTTTATGTCTATTTTTGATTAGTACATGTTTTCAGTACACGTTTGCATTCATCTTAGGGAGTAGCTGTGTGTATTTAACATTTATTAATTCTTTTTATTCCCTTTTCCCTTTTCTTCCTCTGTTTCTAGAGCCCCTTGCCATTTGCAAAAGATCTATCTCCTTGTGCCTATCTTTAATTTTTTAAACTCTTTATACTTTGGGTCTCATATAAAAAAGTTATATGTTTAAACTCATGTATCTGATTTATTATCCTAACATTATGTCATCAAGGTGTATCCATTTTCTACATTGATTCATATTTCTCCTTCTTCATGACAGAGTAGTACCCCACTGCATATAAATACCACATCTTCACTAGGCAATCATCTATTAATAGATATATAAGCTACTTCTGAGGTTTAGCTATTATGAGTTGTGCTGCTATAAATATGGGTATGCATGTATCATTGTGGTATGATGTCTTCAACTCTTTTGGGAAGACACCTAGAAAAAGAAAAGCTGGGTTGAATGGAATTCTAGTTTTATTTTTTTTAAGGGATCACTGTACTGATTTCCATAGCATTGGCGGAATTTACGTTTCCACAAACTTAAGTAACTTAGGCATTCTTAATCTTATTTTTAGAGTAGTATATTTTAGGTTGTTACCATTTTGATTTCTGGATTACCAAAATGATGTTAATGACATTTTCATTTTAAAATACAATAGTAGTTTTTCTGAAGTACATTGGTATAAAAGTCACTCAGATTTTTGTGTCTCTTTCTGTACATGACAGGTATTCTCCAAGATCTTGACAGATGCCAGCCATGGTCTCTCTGGTTGCTCTGTTTCCAAGGAAGAGCTGTTAGTTACACAGTGCTTCCGAGGACTCTGGAGGGGTTCGCTTTGCACCTACTTTTACTTGGTGGCTTGGGCAAAGCATTAACTTCTTCAGGCCACATACTTAACTGTAAAAAGAGGAGGTTGGACTAGTCAGTGGTGGCACGCCGATGGCACATGTGCCTCAGTGGGCTGTTTATCACTGAAAGCTCTACAAGGTTTGCTATCACTGGATATCTAAGGTTATACTTTATGATTTATTTAAAAAAATTTATAAAGTTGTCATTCCACTTCCAGGTAGAAGGTGTTCATTGTATGAGTAATATAAGATTAAGGTTGACTTGATTATAGAGATTTTAAAGATAAGGTATTATCCAGTATTGTCTTTTTGAAATTCCTTCTTAGGTCTTTAATCAGTACTCAAACCTACCCTTTAATAATATTCACAAAGCCGGTTCTTCCAAAACAAAGTAGAGTCTGAAATAGTGACTTTTAGTCTGTTAGGTTTAGAGTAACAGTCAGGCTACAATAAATTAACGAGTGGCACCATGTGGTTGAGAGCCACTTTCCCTTGATTTTCAGTTCTGCTCTATCCTGAATTAGCAGGACTTGGCAGACTATCCAGGGCTGGTGATGACAGTATGAGATTGAGCTCCAGGATTTGTTAGCTTGGTGAGTTGAGAAGGAAGTTTGGCAATTGACAGGTCCATATGTAGCTACTAAGCCATTTTGAAAGAAGAAATCTGAAGTCAGAGATAAGACAATTGGGAATCCTGGATGAGACTGAATTTTCCTGATGAAATTGTTGCTATCTCAGTTGGATTTGATTAACTCTATCTCATGCAGCATACTCTTGTTTTGAAGTTATTTTAGACTTCATGTACTGCCATGATTGTGGAGAGCTTTAACAGTGTCTGTCAAGGACAGGGACTATGCTTTTGTGCCTTTTGCCTTCAGCTGTATAGAGTGTTTCCCCAAAATGATTGTTTATTGAATGGATGAATACGTAAATGTGCTATATACATAATTTTTTAGATCTCTAGCCTCAGAGTTATTATAAGGATTATAATAATGTAGATTAGTGTTCCTTATAAATTATGCATTGTTACAGTTTCAATTGTTATGACTTTTCATGATTATTACAGTGGGTTAAATTTGTACCTTAGTTACTTTTCTCTCCTTGCTACAACAAAATACCCAGCACCCAAAGTTAAAAGGGAAAGATTTATTTAGCTCAAAGTTTGTAGATATTTCAGTCCGTAATTGACTGGCTCCAAGGCAGGGCAGCATGGCAAGCAGGCATTGCAGAGGAGAAACAGCTCATGGTGGGCAGAAGGTAGCAAAGCAAGCAAGGGGGAAGGCAAGCCTCTCTCTGTCCCTTATATTGTATCCAGGCTACTGGGATAAGGGCAGTGCCAAACCATTCATTGGACTGTTTCAGTAATCATCCGACCTTAATCCTGGCACCTTTAATTCTAGCACTGCTGTATGAATCAACCACTTATTCTAGATTCAGCCACCTCTGAAAAAGCCCCACTTATGACTGTGCAAGGCTTTGTTATGGGCACAAGCCATAACAATGTGGATGCTAAAGAGTATGTTCCCAATGTCCAGAACCCATGACTCTTACCTTGTATGATAAGTAAATGTTAATATAATGTGGTTAAGGTTTTTGAGGAGTTTATCCTAGGTTGACACTAATTCTAATGACAAATGTCCTCATAAGGACACTCATATAAGAGTGAGGCAAAGGAGGACTGAGAGGGTATAAAACAAGGAAGCAATGTAACTACGGAAACAGGAAACAAAGTCATGTGGCTGTAAGTCAAGGAATGCCAGTGGCCACCCACAACTGGAAGAGTCAGAGAATGACTTTTCTTTTACGCTTTCTGCAGGAGTGCGGCTCAGCCAGCATGTTCATCATACTCTGGTCTCCAGAACTGTGAAAGGATACATTTCTTTTTGAAGGCCCCCAGTTTGTGGTAATTTGATTTAGAAGTCTTAGGAAATTAATATAGTTATTAATAATCTACCTATTCTCTTTTGATATAGTGGTTTAGCCTGTTGCTTAGGATGGATAGTGTGGAAATTAAAAAACATTGTCTAGAAGCAATACTGACTTCTTAATTTTTTCAGTGATAAGGTGGAGAGGTCTTAACTAAAACATAAAAACCCATGGGCACAGGGAGGCCTGTATATTGAATCTAAAAGGACTTGGTTAAGTAGCTCCAAAAGAAGTACAATTTTCACCCATCTTACCTTATACTGTTGATCTGAAAGTAACTGACAACATAATCCCCCCTGATTTTAAGGTCCAAATTCAACTTCTAAAGACTTGCTGACACATTTTAAAAAAGAAAGATTATGAACTCAATAAGTAGTCTGTTGATTAAAAGTTCTGCATCCATTTCTCACCCTGCTCTTTAAAAATTTCAGTTTTCATCCCATAAATTATACCCCTTTCTCTGTTCTCAGGCAAGATAATATTTTTATTAAGATGTAAAGGTGATTGGTTTTCTCACAGCACAGCTACAAGGTGCTTGAGGGGATGATAGATTGGCTGTATTTAATGAGCTGTGTTTCTATTACAGCTTAGAAGCATTTGAAGCATTACAGTATATAAATTATAGCCTAATTGCCCTTTAGGCTTTAGCAGCTCAAAATTGCCACACTCCAGGTCTCCACACTTTGACATTATTCTCTTCTCTTTCTTTTTCCTGTTCACTTTGCCATTTCTGCTGTACGTGCTGTCTATAAAGCCAGTATACCTTATCTATGGTTTTCTACACCTCTCCTGGTCCAGCCCTCCCCCTTTCTGGCTGCACTTCTTGGCTTCTTTTCCTAACTGTATTTATATAGACTCCTTTGCTCTTTACAATGTTTGGTTTGTGTAGTGACTTCAACACTGTCTTAGATCTGGAATCATACAAATGTTCTCCCGACTGGCGGTCGCCTCTGCAGGTTATGGTGTGTGGTGGGCTGAGCTGTGAACTCCAATGGGTGAGTGGCTGCAGCTGGTTTTCATTTTGAGAGAGACTAAGAAGTCAAATAGTAAGAGAGATGATATTGAAAGTATCTTCACTCAGTGAAGTTTATCCATTTTTGGTAGAGCTGGGTGGTACACTGAAGCCTATGGGTACAGTGAGATGGTCTGGTTTTACCCTGCCCAACAAGTAATTTTTTGAACCCTTTAAGGTACTGGCTTTTATCCAAGTCTATGTGTACATGGCTGGCTGGAAGCGGGTATGTACAAGATCTCTCAAATTACCTGCTCTGGGAGACCAGAACAGGCGAGTACTTTGAAAAATTCCTGGCCTGGCTTGCATACTTTATCCAGCCCTCTTAATAGTGTGATGAAAAGGAAAGAGAAAAAGGCAGTGGAACTCTAGGCTAAGTGAGAAAGAGAAGAACAGGGTAATGGTAAGGAAGTGAGAATGGAAGTCAGGAACTCTGATGGTTGGGGGGCGGCATTCAAGACTTCAGGAGACTAAAAAAGTCAGTCTCCATATTGGAACACATACTGGATTCAGGATGGCCTAAGCAGAATAAGGCAGAAACAACCTAAAGCATGGTTAGAGAAGTGTTTCTATAAATATATTTTTGGTTGGTAGAGTTCACTAGGTCCTTAGAATGAATCTAATCCAATCCTTTCATTCCATTCATAGAAGAAGGAATGAGGCCTCCAGAGATGAGGTGAGTTTCCCACCACTCCAGAGTTTATCAGTAGAACATTCAGGACTAACGTGTGTTCTTTGCTTTCTGCCCCATTTTTATTCTTACTGTGCTCCATTGTCTCTCTGATTTTTTCTGTGGAACTTTACATTGAATCCTGGTCATTACACATGCTAGGCAAGCATTCTAGCACTGAGCCATACCTCAAGACCTTTTTATTTTTATTTTTTTAATATTTGAGACAGGGTAGTTTTGCTGTTTTCCAGATTGGCTTTGAGCTTGTGATCCTTCTGCTTCAGCCTCCCAGGTAGCTGAGATTGTAAGTGTTTGTCACCATTCCTAGTTTGAAGTTTTAAATCCTACATTCTCAGGTAAAGAGAGCAAGTAACTTCATAAAAGGTTATTCCTTTATTCTAAAAGGTCACCTGAGATACTTATAGGATGAAGAAAGTAGGATATTTGTACAGATTTCTTTTCACTAATTGCAAGTGTATTGTAATATTTTCTTTGGGAATACTCCAGAGTCTCCATTCTTATATAGTTACATTTCCAGGAGTTTTTCTTCTTACTACTGAATGAAAGAATGAATATACAATTTATTGCATAATTATTATGTGCTAGACACTATTCTGAGTGCTTCACACACATTCTTTCCTTGAATTGTCCATTTAACACTATGAGCTTCAAGGATCTATATTATGATTCCTATTTTTCAGATGAGATTTAGACTAAGTGATTTATTGGCCCAAAGTTCGAAGCATTTCCTTATTTTAAATTCTCATTCCTCCTTGTCTGGATAGTTACAAGAGTTTCTTAGCTGGTTTCCCTACCTTTTGGTCATCTTGTTAAATCCAGGAAAGAGACGCAAATTATTTGGTGAGCAGGACCAATTAGAGTAAATGCTTGCAATCAACAAGCAGTATGGCCATAATAACACAGAGGAGACAAGTAGCCCTGCTACTATCTGTCCTACACAGAGTTGTGAGATCCTATAATTTACTTTTTCCAAAACTTTGGCTAGCATTTTCTTACCTACAAAATTAATGCAAATTCCTTACAAGGGGCTTTAATAAAGTCTTTGTCATCAGATCTCACTGCTATTTTTCAATCTTGCCTAATTTCTCATTACTGTTCCACAGTTAATTTATACTTCATCTGGCCTTGACTATGTGTCATTGCCCAAATGTTATTTTTCTGCTCTTTCTGCCTTATCTGTTTATACTTTCTGTCTGAATGCTCCATATTCTATTTTCTCTCACTATCATCTAATATAGTCCTTCAGCTTAGCTTAAACGTCAGTGACATCTGTGGCAGTTTTTCTGCTATCTACAGTGCAAGTAAATTCTTATTTTTTTGTGTTGACACAGCACTTTTTTTGGTATTTCTCTTTCAGCACTTAGAAAAATTTGCAAATAGTATTTCTAAATACTTCTTGTCTTGGCAGAATGATTTTTTTTTTTTTTTGGTACCAGGGATTGAACTCGGGTCTTTGTGCTTGCTAGGCAGGCTCTGGAACCACTGAGCTAAATCCCTGGCCCTACCGGAATGAATTTTAAAAGTTCAGTGACCATATCTGTTTCAACTTTATATCTACCATAAAATGTCTGACACCTGGCTGCTTACAAATATTTATGAAATTGAACTGAATATATATCATCATGATATTAATCATGGGCTTATTGCTATTATACTAGATTTTAAGTTTTGGATAAGTCATTTAGGAGCAATTTCAGGCCAAATCCAAATTCTCTTGATTACTACTAGTTAGTACCCCTTTCACAAGACCCTCAGGTGTCACCACAAAGCTTCTCCAGATAAGATCATAGTCAGGGAATACATTTTCTTACACATGAAAGTGTCCACTCTGCCAAAAAGAAGTCCACAACTGAGGAATCTTAGGTCTAACTGGATTTGGGTTAACATAAACTGGTAATTTTCTTTTCTGAGATATTGAGTAAATCATATAATTTTCTTTCTGTTGGATTTACCAATAGGCTACCGGATAAGATTAATAGTCTGATCATTACTTCTGGGGCTGTTTTTTTCCTGCAGTGTGGTAAGCCATTGCTACTTACTATGGTGGATGATACAATTCTGAGGAATAGTGTGATTTATCTACAACTTTTTCTTAAGCCTTTGAAAATTCATGTCTACTTGAGCTCCTCATTTAGCCAAATTACCAGGCTGCTTGCACACTGTGGTTTTTGAATCAGCCAAGATTTCTGCTTTTACCCTTGCTTGGTTCTCACCCCTCCCACCCTACCTTTTCTTTTTCTTTTTTTGGTACTGGGGCTCAAACTCAGGTCCTTGTGCTTGCAAGGCAGGCTGTGGAACCACTGAGCTAAATCTCCAGCCCTCTTTCGTTCTGTTAACTGAGAAGAAACAAACCATTACCTGAATGAAATCTAAAACTTGCTGATGTCTTTGTTTGGCAGCCGCAACCTCGCTGTCTGAGATTGCTTCCCTCAGGGACTGTTGGGTAGTCAGAGAATCCAGCTCCACAATAGCAGAAAGGCGGCAATACAGACTAATAAATTTCTCTCTGTAGCTGCAAAAATGAACTGGAAAATGGACAAGCAAAGTAGAATATGTTAAGATCTGGTATCAAAATAGAAAACTTCATACCTTACAGAAAACCAGTTGAATGAGAACATGATTTATTAATCCTATCAGTGGAAAATATTAAGCCATAAGTAAATTATAAATATGCTCTTAAGGGGCCAGTTGTCTGGTTTTAGTTAGACAGTATTCCCTTTTAGGTTTACCAACCTTGGTAAGGTATGGGAAATGGAATTAGTTCAAGCTGCAGTTTATGTGGACCGTTTCCTAAAGCTGGGGATTTTTAGTTTAATAGTCCCATGTCATATAGTGATGTTGCAGCCAGTGATGGGCTGCATCGATAATGCTGCTCCAGTAAGATTATATCCCCTAGTGATGTAATAGACATATTAGTTTGTAAACTATGTTATATGATGTTTGCACCATGACATTGCCTAACAGCACAGACTTTAAAATTTGTCCCCAGTGTTAAGCCACACATGACTGAATGAGTGTGTGTATGTGTGTGTGTGTGTGTGTGTGTGTGTGTGACTGAGAAAATCAAATTATCACTTTAAAGGAACAAATCCCAAGTTTTTCAATTTGAAACCTAGTTTTGATTTTCCTGTCTGATTTCCTGTTATGTATCTTGCTTTTTTCCTTTTTAAGGCCAGAACCCCCAAAAGACACAAGATACACATTTCTCAGTGTATCTTTTGTCTGATAGAAAACCTTCCCTGACTGGCCTAATGTGAACTTTGATCCTCCATTTGTCTCTTCCCTTTTCAGCTCCTCTGGAAGTATGATGGGATTTGACACTTGGACAGACCATTTCCATTTGTAGCAAACCTGTTTTTACCCTCTCAAGAGATAATGAGACAGAGGCCACAAGAAACAATCTAACCTTCATCTCCATCATTTGCCCCTTTCCACGAGGGACAGAGCAATGCAGGACTGAGCCTAGTGCAGGCACCCTGAGGCGCTCAGATTTTTTATACTTCTCTGATCACCTCTGATCAAATCATAGCTTCAGATTCCAAAAGGATGAGGAAAATGTCCTCATTCAGACTCGTGTAGTTCCAGTCTCTTTCTGGCCCATTGTTGAATATGGACACATTCTTCATGACCTCATTTATTTTATCTATCTCTCACTTATCCTATTGTGTTCTGCTCTTTGGAAATAGGAGCATCACAACAACATGTCTGTTGAAACACATATGCATGTCTTATGGGAAGAATTCTAGAAAGAAGATATAATTATTATCCTTTACCTCTTTGCTGTCAGCTCCCAAGAACAAAATTTGGCTTGTTTTGGAGGCTGAATCCCAGTATCTCAGAATGGGGCATCTGATCAACTCCACACCTCAGTCAGTAAGCCCTGTTCATTGCATATTGAGAGATTTCTTGGTGCCTTGTTCTCATCTTATCATCGCCTGCTCCCTTTCTTGATTTTCTCTTAGGATAAATAATGTGCTCTGTTTGTCTTTCCTCTTACGGAGCAGAAGAGGAGAATTTGGTGTAGGCTTCAGTGGTTCATCCTTACCCCAACTTTGTTCATTTGAAGGAGGTGTTTCTCAACCCAGGTAGTCTCAGGCCTGGAGTTGAGTTTTATCTCTGGTGTCAGATCCTTCCTTCCCATTTTTAGCTCTCTTTAGCACTTTCTTGTGTGACACAAAGAAGAGTGGGTTTCATATACTCTTTCAGTAAATGACAAACTATTTCACTTTTCCCAAATGATAAAGTTCTCATGTGATTTCCCCACGTAATGACCTCTGAGAACTTCCTTTTAACTTCAGGATAAAACCCAAACATCATCTCTGCATAAGGAAAGAAAAGGATCCTTCTCATAAGGATCTAGGATTTGAATACATCTATGATCATAGCTTTCATTGTGCACCCACCCTCAGCTACCACTAGCTCTGCACCAATCCTAAGATTTGGTTAGACTGAACTTCCTGCAAATACTTTATATGTCTATGCTTTTAAAAAAATTATTGCATATTTGTAATACAGAATAGTGACATTTGTTTTGGGGACTTGGTATATGCATATAACATATCTTAATCATTTTCAATCTCTTTACCCCCTTCTGCCTTCTCCCACCTCCCCCTGATCATCTTTCTCATTTCTTCCTGAACTGGGAATTGAAGTCAGGACCTTGTGCCAGGCGGGTGTGGGACCACGGAGCTAAAGCCCCAGCCCGTCTTTCTCATTTCTTAAGAGTTTTCCTTCTAGTTTCCCATCAGCTCTCCTTTACTTTTAAAATTTATTTACTTGTTTTAGGCTTCTCATGTACATCCATGCTTTTACATATGCCTTGCCTTATCCTCAAATACCAGTCTCTACCAACGCCTTCAAGGCTCCTTATTGATAATGGAAGATATTTCACTGAAACGTCTTCTCAGTGGAATTTACACTGACATCTCCTCTTTTCTGAGCAGAGCTAGTTACTCCTCCTTTTGTGCCTGCCGCTAGAGCACTTGTTTCTAAATGTATGGTGACACTTGTCTATGTAATTGCCTTGGTATTAGACTATGGCTTGCTTGAGGGCAGGAACTGTGTCTTCTATTAATTATTATTTCTTTAAAACCTGGAACATTCTGATTTCTCAACTAATGCTTATTGAGCTTTATGAATAAAGAAATAAATGCATTAATTGATCTGAAGAGGGCAGATCCTGCCCTTCTGAAGGCACCCTTTTCCTTCTGTTCTCACTTTTGTCATTGTGTGCTGGATTTTTTGTATGTGTGTGTGTTCTGAAAGGTGTATTTCAGATCTGTAATATTTACTAGCAGCCCACAAGAAAGGAGTCACTATTACTTTGTAGCTTATCCTTGACCCTTGTAGCTCTCTGAATGTGTCTTTTTGCCTTTCAAGGAGGGATTGTATCCTGTTAGCACTTGACAGATGTCCTCTTTTGGCTGCAGAATGAAGAAAGTGAAGTGTCTCACAGCCTGCTTTTCCAAACCGAGTTGTAAAAATTAAAAATTCAACTTTTTTCCTTTTCCAAAATATGTCTAGAAAAATCGACTGAATAATTTCTTTAAAAAAAAACCACCACTATCAGTTGCATCCAAATTCGTAAAATCCAGGCTGTTCACAGCTTTCTCTTGTTGTGTCTGTGACTGGAGCCATGATCAGTGGGTGGTCTCAGCACCCATGCCATCCACACCATGTACCACAAGTGAGTTATGAGGAAGTTTTAACTGTAATGTTTCAGTTTCCTACTCTAGTGGTGGTTTTCATCCAGAGTCTTTAAGGTCACTTTAACAAATGTTACTTTAACATAGTCTTTTGTGGTTTAGCAATGATACATTTGGTAGCCATCACCAAGGAGGGGAGGATAGACTGGAAGTTTCTAATTTTTTTAAAAATGTGAATCACATGCATTTTATAGACAAAAATGGCAGAAGGCTACGATAATGTCATTATCTGGACCACACGATTTGTTAGTAATTCACAGACTAAGACTAATTTTCTGTGGTGTGTTTCTCCCCCTTCTTTATAAGATAGTGATAGAGTAAACTATAGTTGGCATGAATACTAGCAGTATAGTACAGTAGAAAGTGCATGGGCTTAGATGTCACACGGGACTGGATTTAGATCATAGTTCTGCCTGTAAGATGGTGAGCAGGTAATTTCTAGGAGCCTCAGTGCTGCCCCTACAAGAGGGATAATAAGGCCTACTTAACGATTAAATAGTAAGTGTAGATAAAGTATCCAACACAGCATATGACACATACCAGATACAAAATAAGTGTTCCTATTCTTAATCCTTTATCCCCAGGAAGTATGAGACATTTTGTAGTTAGAGTATTAGAACAGGATTGGGATTAGAATAATCTTTCCAAGGATCTTTAACTCACTGACTGCAGTCAGTCTGGGCTATGTGGCCTAGTTTGAAAGCCAAGGAATCAACTAGATAACCTCATAGGGTCAGTGCCACAGTTCCTTGCCAAAGCATCAAAAAGAACCTGAGCACAAGGTACCTCTCTATATTCTTGGTAATGGATAATTTGGTAGTTGAAATACAGGTATTGTGTCCTAAATGATGAAAAATGGGCATTAGGAATGAAGGTTGAGACTGTGCCATTTCTTGCAAGCCTGTGGCCTGGATTCTATTAGGCTCATTGCCTGGATATCCCACAGGCACCTCAAAACTCATCATTTGTCATACTGAACGCATCATCTCTCCCCTCCCCCAAACCTGTCCCTCCCCTCCTATTTCCTGTTTTGGTAGATGGCAACATTATCCATTGCAGCACCCTATTCAGACTTTCTGGCTCCTCTATTTTACTTTTCAACCACATCAAATCAATCACAAAGTCTCATTGATTGTAACTTCTAAATTCCTCGCGCCTCTGCTTTCTCCTCTGTTGTCCCTTGTGGCTGCCTTTGTTGGGGTTCCTGTTGCTCACCTGGACTAGTGAGACAGGCAGTCTCTTAATTGTCTCCTTCCCTCAGCTCTAAGCATTCCCTCTGGCCTTCCTCCCCACCTCCACCATTACTTTCCTGCAGTCCATCCTCCACAGAACTTTGAAAATCCACTGAGGTCATATCTTTCCTTTTCTTAAAATCTTTTCATCACTTCCATTTGCATATTTGATAAAATCTTACCTTCTTAAGATAACACAAGTAGCCTTTCCTCATTTTGACCTTTTTAACTTTTAGATTTCTGGGATGCCCTAAACATGCATTGCAATGAGCTACCAAAAGTAATTTCCTAGGTCTCTAAGCCTTGGCGTGTTTAAATGGTTTTCCTTTTCTGCTGTCCCTATTCTTTAACTTTCTGAATTTTTATTTATCCTTCATGATCCAGCTAAATGTTAACTCTGTAAGGAAGGCTGGAGTGTCTTTCCTTTAAAACTCAACAGCCTGTGTCTTACAGCAATGCTTTCATTGTATGAGGTCTGTTGATGTCAGTGCTTATATCCTGTACTAGATTTTGAAGGTCTGATGGGTGGACTGTGTTGAGTGTCTTTCCTTTAAAACTCAACAGCCTGTGTCTTACAGCAATGCTTTC